AGAAGCTGATTCTGAACAAAAGTTGAGCGCGTTGTAGCGCATATTTAGTCAATGACATGAACACACAACAGTATATATTTGATCACTTATTTTTTGACATTTTAGGGGAAGCTGAACTTCCCTTGCAGTCTTAGAGCAATCGCCACTGGTCTGTAGATACTATACTGCCTTTATGTATGTGAATGGCCTTTAACCCTTCCCAGATTGATGGGCAGCAACAGTTGCTTCTCTCAGGTCATTGCTGATGTCTTTCCATCTTGGCATTGAGCTAACACACACATGTATCCTGCAGAGCAACAAACTTCAAAGCATATAAGCAGACAGGAACATGGGATAAGCAGAATGATCTCTCCAACCCAAAGAAGTCTACACTAAGACAGTTTTAGGCCAAATGTTGCTGAATTAAACAGATTTACACAAAAAAATGTCCAAACTTTCACAGTAACATAAAGATAGCACCCTAAGGTCCACTTTATATAGTTTATCTGTAAAGAGGCGGTATCAGCTAAACCTCTACGAGTGAATCCAACCCTGGATTCCTTGGTGACTGCTCCCATAGTGATGGACTCCTCCCCAGAGGGTATAGTGACTAAATTAAGAAGATCCTCAAAGTGCTCCCTCCACCACCCGACATCATCCGTAGTCCAGGGCCGGAGTTCCACCATCAAACCAAACACAGCCTGGGAGGTCTTTAGCGGTTGTCTGGCGAGTTTGGGGTACATCCTGGGCAGATCACCACCATGACAGTAAAATAATGAAAACCTGCTCCTCAACGTGGTCAAGCAGTAAGTGAAAAATCACTGAAGTTAAAATGAAAACTCTTAATGAACTCTAGAAAGCTTTGACCCAAACCACATAAAAAGATTACAAGAAAATCTGGCTGCTTGGAAGGAAAACATTAAATGATGGTACAGTAATACTTGTCAAAGGTACTGTACACATGTACTGTACTGATGGTTCAAAACCGATTGAATGATTTGGCTGTGATATTGGCTACTGTCACTAACTAGACCTTCTGTTTCTTTATCTTTCCTGCAGCGAAAAGGACATCAAGCATGACACCTACCTGGTACCATTTACCATGTATGAGCTGGGTTTACTGCACAAGCTGAAAGGTGACATCAAAATGGCCATCACTGTAATTGAAAATGCAAAGTAAGTATTTCCATCTTTTTCTTTCAGCTAAACTCCCCCTAATCTTAGAGTAAAACATTTCAGAGATGGCAATAGGTTCAAACTGAGCAACACAAACTCAATGACCTGTCAGTGCAAGTCACACAAATACTCCCAGGTTGCAGAAACGGGTAACAACATTTGATCTTATTTGCAGGATGAACTACAGAGAGTACAGCATGGAGTCCAGACTGCACTTCCGCATCCATGCAGCTCTCAACACCATGGGTTCATTTGAAGCCAAACTTCCTCCTTCACGTACCCCAGCTTGAAAGACGGGCAGAAAGATGGCAGAGCTTGTACTTAAAGCTGTAGTTTAAATCTCATCTCCGTGTCAACTCTGAATCCATTCGCCCTCATTTTTATTACCAGACAAACCCTAGAGTTCCACCTCTGTGTAATTTATAAATATTTGAATGTAAAAATGTAATTCAGTAATACCGAGTTATGATACCTGGAGATAATACCATAAATATGACCGAATGAACTTGATGAACAAAATAAATAAGGCAACACTTTATAGTCTTCTCATTTGTACATAAAAATTGAATTATCACTGCTATCACTGACAAAAAACAAAAATATATTTATGATTGTGGAAGGCAGTAAAGTTTTTTTTAGCTTACTGACACTGGGCCTAAAAAAGGTGCCGCTTTTCTTAAGATACTGAAGATATTTCTTTTAGATTAGTTTATGCTGAGGTTACTAATTTATTGCACTCATGCAGATAAACAGAACAAAGGTGGAAAAACAGGCAGCGTGGATCATTCACATGGCCTGATCTAGCTTTTCATCCTCAGCAGACTCTGGTGCTGTTTCCTTCCTTGTATTCGATGTAAAGCACTTGTGGGTCTGATTAAAGTCGGATTATCATTCTTCTTAAAAATTGATTTTAAATTATTTAAAAGTCATTGTGTACTGTTATAATGTATTTGTTTATGAAAATGAAAAAATATACAAATCTATTTACAAGTCTGCTGTGATGAATAACAAACAATATTGCAAACTAATATCACTTTTCTCCAAACAAAATCACAAACTGCTTCCCAGTGAAAACATAAGAAGCTGTATAAAAATATTAGACATAGAAGATAGTGGAAAAGTCATTGAGATTGTTAAGTATAACATCATAAATCACAAAAAGATTTTTTATGGTTTGGATCACAGCTTTTCACAGGTTTTAATGTAAATTGTGGACACCAATGACCTCACAATGTCAGCTTTTAAAATGCAGTAACACTGCCATTTTTTAGCATACACACATGATAGGACATAGATACATGATAGGTTGTGACACCATGAGTTTCCAATATTTTACCTTTTCAAAATATTCAGTTCATAATTTTTAAGATTCCAAATTTCATGTTTTTATTATCTGTAAGCAGGGCAACACGGTGGTGCAGTTGGTAGCGCAGTTGCCTTGCAAGAAGGTCCTGGGTTCGATTCCCGACCGGGGGTCTTTCTGCATGGAGTTAGCATGTTCTCCCCATGCGTGGGTTCTCCCCGGGGACTCCGGCTTCCTCCCACAGTCTAAAGACATGCCTGTTAGGTTTGTTGGTCTCTTTAAATTGCCCTTAGGTGTGTGAATGGTTGTTTGTGTGTTGCCCTGGCGACCTGTCCAGGGTGAACCCCGCCTCTCGCCCATAGGCTGCTGGAGATAGGCACCAGGTTCCCCGCGACCCACTCTGGAAGAAGCGGTAGAAAATGACTGATTATCTGTAAACTATAAACATCAAAATTAGAAGAAATAAAGTCTTTAATTCACTCTGTGAATCTATGTAATATACGAGTTTCAATTTCTGAAATGAAGGACGAAAAATACAAAACTTTTTTCAAGATTTATTCATTTTTTGAGATGTATCTGTGTGGTAACAGCCCGCCTGTCAGTGCTGTAAACCACGTGGTTTGAGATCATCAGCTGACTGCAGGGGGAGGAAAAGGAAGAAGAGAAGAAGATGGAAGGGAACAGAGACGAAGCCGAAAAATGTATCAACATCGCCACGAAAGTGCTGGAAGCTGGAGACAAGGAGAAGGCCTTGAAGTTTCTCTACAAAGCGGAGAAGCTGTACCCGACCGACAGAGCTAAAGGTGAGGCTGAGTGTTCTGGAAAAGGGGCTAACTTAGCTCCTTCCGCCGTCTCTGTATAAATCAACCTGCTGTTAGCTTGTAGCTGATGTTCTTTAACATCATTCACGGTGACACTTCTCTATAAATCCTCTGGAGGGACTAGAATGATCATAAGCAACTGTTTATATACCCATATCACTAGAGAAAGAAGCAGACGTTTATTATTCTGGTAAATTTAGCTAAAAGGATCCCAGTTAGCTAGCTGAGCTGTTGGCCTGGCGGCTAGCCAAGCCTGTGCTTCCATTTAAAGGGAAACACTCTTTATAAAATGACACTAGTTAAATTTAAACTAGCTAATCAGCTCTAAACTGTCCTGCTCAGTTTCAGCGCAATATCCTAATTTTTCTGTTCTGATTATAAACCAGTTGACAGACTATTGTCTGTTGTCTTACTTTGAATTAAGCGCTAATTGAACTTTCACTTAAATTGTGGCCATAGTTTTGTAAGGGTTCTAGCTGTCAGTAGTAGCCAGGAGAAGGAAGCAGGTCAGGTTTGTTTAGAGGCAACAGCAGCCAATCCTTTAATTGAATGATAGGCCCACAAAGAGCTCCGAGCTTCAGGCTAATCATCCAGGACACAGGGCAGGAAAACAGGGATAACACAGATGCTCTTAAATGTCCAGGTGGGTCAGATGTCCGCTTAATAACAAATTACCAAAATAAACACGGGCAACTGCAACAGTCCTGGTTCCTAAACTGTGCTGCAGTGTTCCTACATAGTCCGGAAATTACGACATTTTTACTGAAGTATTTCCCAGGTCTAGAGTAGGAAAGATAAATGAAGTAGAGTGGAAATATTTGTACTTCCAGGAATCACTTCGAAACACATTGTTTAAATCTTCCTGCCAGTCATTCATCTGCTCTTCCATCTGTCTATTGTTGTTCACCCTCATTTATCTGTTTGTCAGCATCTAATCATCCATCCATCCATCCATGTGCGTCCATCTGTCCATCCATTTATCAGTAAATAAAACAGTTTTTACATAGTACATTTCAAGACAAAAATCACAAATTGATGTACAAAGGAAATTACAATACCATAAACAGTCAGGTGAAAGAGCTCGTTAAACAAAAGCAATTATGAAAAGATAGGTATTTTTTGTTTTTTTTTAAGCAGCTAAAGAACAAAGAGTCCACACTCCTGAAGCTTGATGGTTCCATCATGGCCTGCAATGCTCTCCCAATGCAACAGACCTGTTTTATTGTAAAAAGTTTTTTATAGATGTGAACTTGTAAGTTTTAAGCTTTATGCTGTGTTCATTATGTGGTATTAAAACAACTTTGGCTGGAGTAATTTAATCGGACATAAATGAAGTTATGGATTTCTATATAAGCTTTGCCAGATTGCAAAAGCTATTAGACAATTGAATTATGTAATCTGTTACATCAGCAGGTACTGGTATTCAGTTCATCAACAAACCTACCATGTCATGTTGGGTAGCTAAAAGCAGGGTTTCCCAGTCCAATGTTTACCCAAGCCCTGGTTCTGGGGACACATTGTTGGGTTATCGGTCTATCTGTGCTTTAATGTCTCTGATCCAGATGAATGATTTATGTAAGCGTATGTCAGACGTTTAGCTGCTTGTTATTGGCTCATCAGTTTAAACCCAGTGTGTGAACCTGGAGAAAGCTCAGTGGGAAAGGTTCCAAAGTCCTGGAATTGGAAGCTATTTAAAAGGAAGCTTTTATTTCTACAAGTACAGACATGTCCTCTGTTCATTCAGGCTGCAAGAGAGAGAGAGAGAGTGAGACTTTCAGCAGATAACAGGAAGGCAAAACAGCAACGTTGCTCAGTTTGTTTTTTCCTGTTTTTAGTTTTTAGACTGTTCTCTAATAAGAAGAGTTAAGTTAAGGGTCTAAATCGTCCAAGGAATGCATATAGGTCCTGTGGTTTTAGTAATGCTAGCCACGTTAATCGTTATAAGATGCCAAAGCCAGTTAAAACAATGTATCAGTTTCTGTCTTTTTCTTTTTCATGGTAAAACCCAGCGACTGCTCTCTTTACACGTCACACGTCGGAGTGACGTTGTCTCTCTTACTAACATGAATTATTAAAGATTGACAGCTAAAAAATATCTTGTTGGTTTTTTAACATATTAATTCTTACAGCAAAATTGGTATCGGTAATTGAACCTAATTTAATGCTTTGTTTTATTAATTTCATTGTTATCCTTGATTTTGTTTTCTTCAGCCTTGTTGGACGCGTTAACGAAGAATGGAAGCTCAGCAGGCAACGGCGCGTATCGCAGGCGGCCCAAAGACCACTCAGAAACAGCGGGTTCCCAGCCAGGAGGAGAGCATCAGGAATCTGCAGGAGGCGACTCTAAAAGCTTCACAGATGAGCAGGTGGAAGGGGTTAAAAGGTGAGGGTGTAGGATCGGCTTGGGAACACTGTACTGAAAAGGTTGGCTGGATATCTGTTGCTCATCTGTGGGTTAGTTGATTACTTTATCATATGTGACCGAACCTTCCCCCAGCTGTGCTGTGTGTATGCATCCTGAGCTTTTGACATGTTGTTAGATGTTTATTTCAGCTCCTGATGGATCCTTTGTTACAAATGTTCAAGTGTGCACTAAAGACAGGCTGTTATTGCATTCTAAGCAACAAACATAGATTTAAAAGGAATTGTTTGTTTACTTTCATTTTCTCTTTCATATATTTCTATTACTTAAGTATTTAAATGAAAAATCTGCAGAATCTGCAATTTTTTTTATTTGATTACTTGATTAATCAGAATAATCGATAGAATACTCGATTACTTAAACAATCGGTAGCTGCAGCTCTAAATATAACAGCCCTGATTTACAAATGATAACTTTTATTCTTTTAAGTGGAAAATAGACCAGAGTGTTTAGATGAATGAATGAATTTTTAGTCCTCTGCTTTGCAAAGGATAAAAATCAACATTACTATCAAGTCAAACAAGAACGTTTTACAATGTTGTTATAGAAAACATGGACACCCTCACCTGATGTAAGCGTATGGGCGGATATGATGAGAAAACAAAGCTAAAGGGACACTGTAAAAATGAAACAGGAAATAGATTTTTTTTTGTTGCATATTGTTATTCCAGCCTTATAGCAAAGAAAATAAACAATAAATATTTTAAACATTTAAACAAAAGAGCCTGAAACAAATCAGAAAATCTGAGTCAGAAATGATTTAAAATAAGTACGCCGGGTGTACTCGACTCCGCGGACGCCCATGTGTACTCGAGACGGACTAGAAGAGTACGTCCTCCGGACACGTCTGCATGAAGTAAATGGTAAATGATCTGCGCTTGTATAGTGCTTTATCAAGTTCGCAGAGACCCCAAGGCGGTTTACACTACAATCAATCATCCACACGTTCACACGCTAACAGTGGTGAGCTACATTGTAACCACAGCTGCCCTGGGGCACACAGACAAAGGTGAGGCTGCCATACAACGGACGCCACTGGACCCTCTGACCACCATCAGCAGGCAAGGTGGGTGAAGTGTCTTGCCTGAGGACACAACAACTGAGAAGGATGGAGCAGGGGTTTGAACCGGCAACCCACCAGTTACAGGACAAACCCCTACCGCCGTCACCCCAATGCACTGTTTTTACGACTGCGTATGTGTGCTCGGTGTCGCATAATAAACAGCCTTGGCTGGAAAAAGTCTTCACATCGAACTGTTTGATGTGGAACTCCAAGCTGACATCCACCGCACCCCCGTTACTGCACCGCACTGGCGGGGGTGCGGTGGGTTCCCTGGTGGAGAAGAAATGAGGCTAGGAGCTCAACCAGCTCGTTCTTTGTCTCTAGTCTGGTTTAATGGCTGTAAATAGCACATTCTTCTCTGTTGTTTTTCCAAAGCTAGAAAGCTAATTAGCTCTTCCTCCTCGATCGACGACACCTTGTGGTACAAAGGTAAATCATAAAGGCAGAGTTACAATTAAACGGAAAACGTTCTGCAGATTTTCTATCATAAGCTTGTTTGAATTTTCTCTTTATGTCTCTCTCCCATGTCTTGCAGAATAAAGCGGTGTAAGGATTATTATGAGGTTCTTGGTGTGAACAAAGAAGCTGGAGATAAAGAGCTGAAAAAAGCCTACAGGATGCTCGCTCTGAAGTTCCATCCAGACAAGAACCACACTCCTGGAGCAACAGAGGCCTTCAAAAGTAATATGTGTTGTCCTTACAGTCTCCAGACAGGGTTCGGGATAGTTTTTTCTTTTTGGTGAAAATCTCTTGTATGGAGCAGAGAAAACTAGAACAAAAAATAGAATAAAACGGTTCTGTCGGCTCCTTTGCATTACAGTAGATTCACGTTGAATGAAAAAAAATGGTAGAAAAGGGTGCATCAAGGA